AGGAGTTTACATATCAACAGAAGAATGTAGCCTTGAAGTAGCTGTGTTAATGTGAGAGATTAGCAGGATGTTAAAGTCAGAAATTAGCATGTAACCGGGAGATTAGCATGATGCTAGTGTGAGGGATTAGCATGTAACTGGTCACGGAAGTGGCTATGTTAAAGTCAGAGTTTACATATCAACAGAGGCAATTAGTATATTGACGCTAAAGAACTGCAACTACCCAACTATCATACAATAAACCGATGTGAAATAACTAAATATAAACTACATCAATATAATAAATGTACTCAATGTATTCTCCACTAAGCTGAGCTACTAACAATAAGTCATTATACATTACACGTCTATGTCGTGTTGTGGCCGAAACGTCGTGAGAATTTTATTCTATTATGTTTTATTTGTATTATTTTATTATTTCCCTTCTAGGTGACTTTACCGAAAAAACCAAGAATATATTTCCACTATTATATTAGTATTTTACCAGGCAAGGCGCCACTGAGCTGTGTGGCTATTTTTTCAGAAGCGACCTGGTCATCACAAATGACAGCTCAACGAAGTGGGCTCATCACCATCATCACCATCATCACCATCATCACCATCATCATCACCATCATCATCACCATCATCACCATCACCATCGTCTGGACATTTATAGCAGCAGACGAGTACTCTGAATGCGTGGCGATGTTGATTCTAAATGTGGAGGGAACAACCTGAGGACCCGGAGAAAAATCCACGCCACCACTATGAGAGAGAGAGAGACACGCAAACTCCAAATACACAGCAGCAGGCGTCAGGGTTGGGATCGACCCACGACCTCCTGTGTACCTGGCGAGGTAGTTAACATCTCATAGCCACCGTGATGATGAGAGAGAGAGATGCAAACTCCAAATATACAGCAGCAGCAGGCGTCAGGGTCGGGATAGAACCCACGACCTCCTGCACACCAGGCGAGGTAGTTAACATCTCCTAGCCACCGTGATGATGATTACAGAGTGAGACACAGACCTCCTGTATACCAGGCGAGGTGGTCAACATCTCCTAGCCACCGTGGCATCTCAAAAGTCGCCTGAGTCTTGAGACTTTCCTTGCCGAAATAAACACGGCGTGTGTGTGTGTGTGTGCGTGTGTGCGTGTGTGTGTGTGCGTGTGTGTGTGCGTGTGTGTGTGTGCGTGTGTAGCAGGGAGTAGGGAGCGGTGGAGGAGGAGCAGTTAGCGCGCTGCGCTAGGAAATCCGGCGACCCGGTCACGATAATTATCTGAACCGGTCCCGGACCTCCCCAAGGTCAACTCAGCCTCAAATGAGTTCCTGGTGCAGCCTGTCAGAACATCGCCACCGGGGAGACGTGTTGCCCATTGCCGGCTTTCAGAGGTGCCACTCGCTCACAGCACTTGCCCCGGCAGTCTATTGAGGCTACACGGGTGGAGGAGGAGGAGGGGGATCTTTGTCTTTGTCTGTAACGCACCGGGATGACGTCACTCGGCCTTCAAGTATACACATGACCCTCTACCCTGAACACAGCCCTCAAACCTAAAGACAACCCTCGGCCCTGAACACGACCCTTGACCCTAAACCCCGACCTCTATGGCTCTCTCCTCGCCATCAGTCGCCTGCCCCCTGACCGGAGCGCCAGCCACAAAATGTTGCCTGCAGGTGACCCTGCTAAGCATGACCTTGGTGACCCTCGCAGTGAGCCTCACGGTGACCCTCATGGTGACCTTTACCCTCACAGTGACCTTAACCCTCATGGTGAGCCTCATGGTGACCCTCACACTGACCTTAACCCTCACGGTGACCCTAACCCTCATGGTGACCCTAACCCTCATGGTGACCTTAACCCTCATGGTGACCCTCACACTGACCTTAACCCTCACGGTGACCCTAACCCTCATGGTGACCCTAACCCTCATGGTGACCTTAACCCTCACGGTGACCTTAACCCTCACACTGACCTTAACCCTCACGGTGACCTTATCCCTCACGGTGAGCCTCACGGTGACCTTAACCCTCACGGTGACCTTAACACTCACAGTGACCCTAACCCTCACGGTGAGCCTAACCCTCACGGTGACCTTAACCCTCACGGTGACCTTAACCCTGACGTTGAGCCTAACCCTCATGGTGACCTTAATCCTCATGGTGACCTTAACCCTCACGGTCACCTTAACCCTCACACTGACCTTAACCCTCACGGTGACCTTATCCCGGACGGTGAGCCTAACCCTCATGGTGAGCCTCACGGTGACCCTCACACTGACCTTAACCCTCACGGTGACCTTAACCCTGACGGTGACCTTAACCCTCATGGTGACCTTAACCCTCACGGTGACCTTAACCCTCACGGTGACCTTATCCCTCACGGTCACCCTAACCCTCATGGTGACCCTAGCCCTCATGGTGACCCTAACCCTCATGGTGACCTTATCCCTCACACTGACCTTAACCCTCACGGTGACCTTAACTCTCACGGTGACCTTAACCCTCATGGTGAGCCTAACCCTCGTGGTGACCCTAACCCTCATGGTGACCCTAACCCTCATGTTGACCCTAACCGTCATGGTGACCCTAACCCTCATGGTGACCCTAACCCTCATGGTGACCCTAACCGTCACGGTGACCCTAACTCTCGTGGTGACCCTAACCATCATGGTGACCCTAACCCTCACAGTCACCCTAACCCTCATGGTGACCCTAACCCTCACGGTGACCCTAACCCTCATGGTGACCCTAACCTCCATGGTGACCCTAACCCTCATGGTGACCCTAACCATTATGGTGACCTTAACCCTCACGGTGACCCTAACCCTCATGGTGACCCTAACCGTGACGGTGACCCTAACCCTCACGGTCACCCTAACCCTCACGGTGACCCTAACCCTCACGGTGACCCTAACCCTCACGGTGACCCTAACCCTCACGGTGACCCTAACCCTCACGGTGACCCTAACCCTCACGGTGACCCTAACCCTCATGGTGACCCTAACCCTCACGGTGACCCTAACCCTCACGGTGACCCTAACCCTCATGGTGACCCTAACCCTCACGGTCACCCTAACCCTCACGGTCACCCTAACCCTCGGTGTGTGAACATCGCCTGTCGGGAGACAAAGGCGGCTGGGCGTGGCATTGGCCACCGACCCCTCGTGTGCCGTGCCGGCCTGCATAGCTGCTGATTGTTAACATCACTTGCCCCAACAGTCTGTGTAGGCTATACTGCGGAACTTTGTCTTTGGGGTGTGTGAGTGGGTTAGCGAGTGGTTGAGTGGTTTAGTGAGTGGGTGAGTGGTTAAGTGGGTGGTTGAGAGGTTGAACGAGTTCGTGCTTGTGCGGGTGAAAGAGTGGGTGGCTGAGTGGGTGGCTGAGCGGGTGAAAGAGTGGGTGGTTGAGTGGATGAACGAGTTGGTGATTGAGTGGGTGGTTGAGTGGGTGGCTGAGTGGGTGGTTGAGTGGGTGACTGAGTGAGTGGCTGTGGGTGATTGAGGGAGTGGGTGGCTGAGTGGGTGGTTAAGTGGGTGAATGAGTGGGTGGTTGAGTGGTTGGCTGAGTGGGTGGTTGAATGGGTGCTTGAATAGGTGGTTGAGTGAGTGGGTGGCTGAGTGGGTGGCTGAGTGGGTGAACAATTGGGTGGCTGTTTGGATGACTGAGTGGGTGGTTGAGTGGTTGGCTGAGTGGGTGCTTGAATAGGTGGTTGAGTGAGTGGGTGGCTGGGTGGGTGGCTGCTTGGATGACTGAGTGGGTGGTTGAGTGGTTGGCTGAGTGGGTGGTTGAATGGGTGCTTGAATAGGTGGTTGAGTGAGTGGGTGGCTGGGTGGGTGGCTGAGTGGGTGAACAATTGGGTGGCTGTTTGGATGACTGAGTGGGTGGCTGCTTGGATGACTGAGTGGGTGGTTGAGTGGTTGGCTGAGTGGGTGGTTGAATGGGTGCTTGAATAGGTGGTTGAGTGAGTGGGTGGCTGGGTGGGTGGCTGAGTGGGTGAACAATTGGGTGGCTGGTTGGATGACTGAGTGGGTGGCTGCTTGGATGACTGAGTGAGTGGTTGAGTGGTTGGCTGAGTGGGTGGTTGAATGGGTGCTTGAATACGTGGTTGAGTGAGTGGGTGGCTGGGTGGGTGGCTGAGTGGGTGAACAATTGGGTGGCTGGTTGGATGACTGAGTGGGTGGCAGCTTGGATGACTGAGTGGGTGGTTGAGTGGTTGGCTGAGTGGGTGGTTGAATGGGTGCTTGAATAGGTGGTTGAGTGAGTGGGTGGCTGAGTGGGTGAACAATTGGGTGGCTGGTTGGATGACTGAGTGGGTGGCTGGTTGGACGACTGAGTGAGTGGTTGAGTGGTTGGCTGAGTGGGTGGTTGAATGGGTGCTTGAATAGGTGGTTGAGTGAGTGGGTGGCTGGGTGGGTGGCTGAGTGGGTGAACAATTGGGTGGCTGTTTGGATGACTGAGTGGGTGGCTGCTTGGATGACTGAGTGGGTGGTTGAGTGGTTGGCTGAGTGGGTGGTTGAATGGGTGCTTGAATAGGTGGTTGAGTGAGTGGGTGGCTGGGTGGGTGGCTGAGTGGGTGAACAATTGGGTAGCTGGTTGGATGACTGAGAGGGTGGCTGCTTGGATGACTGAGTGGGTGGTTGAGTGGTCGGCTGAGTGGGTGGTTGAATGGGTGCTTGAATAGGTGGTTGAGTGAGTGGGTGGCTGGGTGGGTGGCTGAGTGGGTGAACAATTGGGTGGCTGGTTGGATGACTGAGTGGGTGGCTGCTTGGATGACTGAGTGGGTGGTTGAGTGGTTGGCTGAGTGGGTGGTTGAATGGGTGCTTGAATAGGTGGTTGAGTGAGTGGGTGGCTGGGTGGGTGGATGGCTGAGTGGGTGAACAATTGGGTGGCTGTTTGGATGACTGAGTGGGTGGCTGCTTGGATGACTGAGTGGGTGAACGATTGGGTGGCTGAGTGGATGGCAGAGCGGGTGGCCGAGCGGGCGTGGCTGGGGGCAAGGGTGCGGAGTTTCGGCTACCTGACTCAGGTGGTTGCGGGAGAGGAAGAGGAGGCGGAGGGAGCGGCACTCGAGGAAGGCGCCGCGCTCCACGCCCACGCTCGAGATGGAGTTGTCGTCCAGGTGGAGGCGCTCCACCCTGTGGAGGCGGGCGAGGGCCTCGCGCGACACCGTCTGGATGTTGTTCTCCTGCAGGTGGAGCTCGCGCACGTTCCGCGGCAGGTTCGAGGGGAAAACCTCCAGCTCGTTGCCGTACAGGTAGACCATGTCCACCTGCAGGGGCAGGGGGGGGGGGTGAACGGGCTCACACAAGCACCCACTCATTCACTCACACAAGCACCCACTCATTCACTCACACAACTACCCACTCATTCACTCACACATCCACCCACTCATTCACTCACACGACCACCCACTCATTCACTCACACAACCACCCACTCACACAACCACCCACTCATTCACTCACACAAGCACCCACTCATTCACTCACACGACCACCCACTCATTCACTCACACAACCACCCACTCACACAACCACCCACTCATTCACTCACACAACCACCCACTCATTCACTCACACAACCACCCACTCATTCACTCACTCGACCACCCACTCATACAAGCACCCACTCATTCACTCACACAACCACTCATTCACTCACACGACCACCCACTCATACAACCACCCACTCATTCACTCACACAAGAACCCACACATTCACTCACACAACCACCCACTCATTCACTCACACAAGCACCCACTCATTCACTCACACAAGCACCCACTCATTCACTCACACGACCACCCACTCATTCACTCACTCGACCACCCACTCATACAAGCACCCACTCATCCACTCACACAACCACCCACTCATTCACTCACACAAGCACCCACTCATTCACTCACACAACCACCCACTCATTCACTCACTCGACCACCCACTCATACAAGCAACAACAACAACAACCGCCATTCGCCACTAAGTGGCGGTGACGTCACCACGACGCTTGTGCCAGGCTATGTGCACCCTGAGGCCACGTGAAGTGTCGAACGCCCGCTGGCAGGAGGTCACGGGGCAGACCCAGGTGCCACGGGTCGACTGACTGAGATGACTGGCTGATGCACCACCTGTGCCCCCTACTGTGCCAACCTGCTGTGCTTTAGCCACCCGGCGCTCCGCTCGCTGTTGTGAGCGTCGCTCCTCCGCCCTCCGTTGTTGTTGGAGGGCGGCTGCCTCCAACTGCCCAGTAGCATCCTTCACGAGCCTCCTCCACAGAGGCCGATCTTGACACCGCTGGTACCAGTCATCGGCAAGTCCACTCAGCTCCACGTCCTCCTGTACCACATCACTCCATCTCTTCTCTAGCCCGTGCCGCGCCCGCTTAGCCCCCTCAATCCGGCCAAACAAAAGCTGTTTCGGCATGCGGTGGCTGGGCATGCGGGCTACATGACCCAGCCATCGCAGCCTTGCCTGCCGGAGGAGCTCACCGATGGGACCCTGCCCAGATCTTTCAAGGATTTGTGAGCTCCTCACACAATCCAGTCTGGTTAAACCCAGGATGGATCGTAGGCAGGCCAGCCTAAATGTTTCTAACCGGCGAAGATGTTCCATTAGGGGGGTCCACGTTTCGCAAGCGTAGAGAAGGGAGGGAATGACCGTGGCCGAGAAGACCTGAAGCTTAGTGCGGAGCGACAGACCAGGTAGCTTCCACACAGCGTTACGCAACCGATGAAAAGATATTGCCGCTCGACTGATTCGGAGTGAGACCTCTGCTGTTAAACTGGAGCCAGTCATAAGCACACTGCCCAGGTATGGGAAACTCTCCACTCTCTCCACAACTGCCCCATCACCGATTGGGAGTTGTGGGGGTGGAGTGTCCGATGGTACAAAATACCCAGGCAGGTGCTTAGTTTTGGTGGGGCTGATGGTAAGGCCCCACCTCTTAGTGGCACGCTCCAGTCTCAGCAGCAGCGTCTCCAACTCCTCCTCTGACTGAGCAGCTATTACCAAGTCATCAGCATACATAACATGGTTGAGCAATAGGGAGCCATCCCTTGACCGCACCCGGGCATCGATTAGCCTCCCATTATATCTGTACCATATGGAGATTCCCCCGGTACAGCTATTGAAGGCTTCACGAACTACGTGGTCAAAATAGATGTTAAATAATGTGGGAGCCAGAGGACATCCCTGTCGCACCCCAAGGTGTACAGGGAATGGCTCTGACTCCCGGCCACGTAGTTTTACCCGGGCCCGCTCACCATCATGAAGGTCCTTAATGATCGTGAGCAGACGGTCAGGTACTCCAAAAGCACAAAGAAAGACCCAGAGCCCAGGCCTACTGATGGTATCATAGGCCTTGACCAGGTCAATAAAGCAGAGATGTAGGTCTTGTTGGAATTCCCTACACCTCTGCTGTAGCAGACGGACAGAAAAATATGGCATCTGTGCAGGACCGCCCTTTCTTGAAACCGCATTGGGGCTCCGCAAGCCTCTCCTCAGCGTGCCTGGCAAGGCGATGCTGAATAATCCTTGCCAGGACCTTTCCCGGCACACTGAGGAGTGAGATGCCCCTGTAGTTGTTACAGTCTGTGCGGTCCCCCTTCTTAAAAAGGGGGAACACCAGGGCATCCTTCCAATCCTGCGGAACCCGTCCAGTGGTCCAGACTGTTGTTATGATGTCATATAGGGCAGTCTGTGCACAAACGCCACCCTCCCTCAGCATTTCGCTTGGGAGATCATCTCTGCCCGCTGCCTTTCCTGGTCTCAGACTCCGGATCGCCTTCAATACTTCCTCAGCAGATGGCACCTCAGCCAGCCACTCACAGGGGGTGACTTCATCCAATATTTGAGGCACCGCAGCCTCAGCAGGGTCATCCTCACTTTGTGCCACGATGTTTTCCTGGCTGAGGGATTTTCCCTCCCCCAGGACCTCACAGAAATGCTCAGCAAATCTGCGAACCTGTTCCTGGGGGTCGGAAATTGGATCACCGTTTTTTCCCCTAATGATGGTAATAGGTGTGGCGCTGCAGGTTACTTTTTTGATGGAGTTAAATAGAGATTTGTGATCACGGGCCACTGAGGCAGACTCCATCTCCTCAGCAACCCGCGACCACCACCCATCCTTGCAGCGCCTCACGGCTCTCCGAACCTCCGAGCGAAGGCTGCGGTAAGCCTCCTCATTCTCTGACGTGGGATTCTGTAGCCGATGACAGTGGGCCTGTCGCTTTTTCTCAACCATCCTGAACAACTCCTCTGTCATCCAGGGTGTCTGGGGAGGTCTGGACCGCGTACCCAAAGCAGCCATTGCAGCTGCATGAGTCACAGTCCTAAACCTCGCCCATTTACCCTCGACTTCAGGAGGAGTCGGGGACGATGCCAATCCCAGCCGCAAGCGATGATGAAATTCTCGCTTGCAACTTTCATCAGATAACTGAAACCAGGCCACTTTAGGTTGGAATGGGGTCCTGGGTGTACACCCACCACCGGAGTGGAAGAATGGCAGGCGCATCTTACAGATGACTAGTCGATGGTCAGAGGGCAGATCAGCTCCACGGTAGGTCCTGGTGTCAAGGACATGGGCTCGCATTCGCTGGTCCGTCACTATGTAGTCCAGCAGATGTTCTTGCTTGGACCCGGCATGCATCCATGATGTTGTGTGGATGCGCCGATGCCGGAACAGCGTGTTGGTAATTACAAGCCCATGGGCTGCACAAAAATTTATCACACAAGCACCCACTCATTCACTCACACAACCACCCACTCATTCACTCACACAAGCACCCACTCATTCACTCACACAACCACCCACTCATTCATCCACTCGACCACCCACTCATTCACTCACTTGACCACCCACTCATTCATCCACTCGCTCATTCTCCCCCTCATTCACTCACTCGACCACCCACTCGTTCACCCATTCAACAACTCAGTCGTTCACCCACTCGTTCACGCCGCAGTCAACCACCAACTCAGCCACTTTATCAACTCAGCCATTCACTTCGCCCCTCCTCCACCCAGTCTCCCTCTCACCACCTCCTCACCCCACGACCCCCTCCCCCACCTCCTCACCCCCACGTCCGCACCTGCAGCAGGCTGCTGAGATCAGCGGGCAGGCCGCTGCTGTTCACGAGGTTGTTCTGCAGGTACAGGGTGGTGGCGCCTCGCGGCAGACCCGCGGGGATGGAGGCGAGACCGCGGTCGTTGCAGTAGACGAAGCTGCGGTCACAGCGGCACGGCGCCGGGCACGACGCGAACGAGGAGGAGGAGGAGGAGGCTGCTGCTGCCGCTGCCGACATCGCCACGCAGGGCGTCGGCGGTACGCAGAGCAGGAGCAGCGGCAGCAGGAGCAGCAGCAGCTGCGGCAATGGGAAGTGGAGAATGTGGGGCCGATGCTGATGCAGCTGGTGGCTGTGGAGTTGGTGGTGGTTGTGCTGCGGCTGGTGGTGGTTGTGCTGCTGGTGGTGATGTTGGCTGTGGTGGTGGTTGTGCTGTAGGTGGTGGTTGTGCTGCTGGTGGTGGTTGTGCTGCTGGTGGTGGTTGTGTTGGTGGTGGCTGTGCTGCAGGTGGTGATGTTGGTTGTGGTGGTGGTGGTTGTGTTGGTGGTGGTGGTGGTTGTGTTGGCGGTGTTCGTGGTGGTTGTGTCGGCGGTGTGGATGGTGTTGGCTGGACTGTTGTGGCTTGGAAGCTGCGTTGGGTGTTGTGGCTTCGACTGGAGATGTCATTTTTGTTGTTGGTGTTGATGTTGTTGTTGGTGGTGTTGTTGTTGTTGCTGAGACTGATCGCTATCCGGCTGTGGCCGTTTCTCGGTGACAGAGCGGCGCACAGAGCAAGGACACCGCTGTTGTTGTTGCTGTTGCTGCCTGACGATGACGATGTTGATGACGTTGACGATTAATATTGGCACTTAAGACGGATGTAACAGCAACAACAGTGACGCTACTGCTGAAACTCATCATCGCCGCAGCTTGCATGAATGATCTCTCCGCAGTGCATCGTCTTGGCGAGCAGCCTTCTCTCGAGCGAGGAAGACAAAGTTCATCAGAGGGTGCTGGGACAATGGGCCACGTGGGTGACAGCCTCCTCCTCCTCCTCCTAGTCGACGGGGTGATCTTGATGTGATCGATGACCTTGAAGTGACTGATGACATTGAGCTGATGGCCTCGACGCGACTGATGACCTTGAAGCGATGACCTCGACGCGACTGATGACCTTGAAGCGATGACCTCGACGCGACTGATGACCTCTGTGCGTCTGGGGTCAAAGTGAAAGTGGTTCCACAGCTTCAAGCCCGCCCAGCCACCACGCCGCCTTCACCGCTACAAAGCTTGAGGCGCAGCCCCTGCAATAGCTCCCGCTCATCCGCCTGCTGGCGGAAGCGGGGGGAACTCCATCCACTCTCTACCAAACAGTGGGGGGCTCAGAGCCCCCCTTCTCCCCACTCCTCTCGCCTCGACCAGAGTGGCGTTTTTCTCGCTTACGACTCCCCCCCGCCCTGCCTGTCTCTGTCTGTCGCTCGCTCGCGACCAAGCTGATGTCCAGTGAACGTCTGACGTCCAGTGAACGTCTGACGTCCAGTGAACGTCTGGATGACTGCGGTCGGGCAGTAGCCCCCCCCCCCCCACACTTTACACCGACTGTCTCTCCCGCTGTGTCTCTCTCTCTCTCTCTTTGCTTTCTATATCTCTCTCTGTCTGTGTGTCTCTCTCTGTCTGTATCTGTTTGTCTCTCTCTGTATCTGTCTCTCTCTCTCTCTGTATCTGTGTGTGTCTCTCTCTCTCTGTATCTGTGTCTGTATCTGTCTCTCTCTCTCTGTATCTGTGTGTGTCTCTCTCTCTCTGTATCTGTGTCTGTATCTGTATCTGTCTCTCTCTCTCTGTATCTGTGTGTCTCTCTCTGTATCTGTGTCTGTATCTGTGTCTCTCTCTGCGTCTCTCTCTGTCTGTGTCTCTCTCTCTGTATCTGTGTCTCTCTCTGTCTGTATCTGTGTCTCTCTGTCTGTATCTGTCTCTCTCTGTCTGTATCTGTGTCTCTCTTGCTCTCTCTGTCTGTATCTGTGTGTCTCTCTCTCTGTCTGTATCTGTGTGACTCTCTCTCTGTCTGTATCTGTGTGTCTCTCTCTCTGTCTGTGTCTGTGTGTCTCTCTCTCTGCGTCTCTCTCTCTGTCTGTATCTGTGTCTCTCTCTGTATCTGTCTCTCTCTCTCTGTCTGTCTGTATCTGCGTCTCTCTCGCTGTGTTTCTCTGACGTCTCTCTCTCTTTGTCTATCTCTCTGTCTCTCTCTCTCTCTGCGTCTCTCTCTCTTTGTCTCTGTCTCTCTCCGTCTCTGCAGGGACCAGCTGTCTGCCGTTTCCTCCTTGTCCCGACCAAGGAGAGATCTTCCTCGAGACGTTCCACGTCGCCCTGACGTCTCCCCGTGCTGGAGGTGGGCTGTAGGTGGGCTGTAGGCGGGCTGGAGGCGGGCTGGAGGCGGGCTGGAGGCGGGCTGGAGGCGGGCTGGAGGCGGGCTGGAGCTGGGCTGGAGCTGGGCTGGAGGCGGGCTGGAGGCGGGCTGGAGGCGGGCTGGAGGCGGGCTGGAGGCGGGCTGGAGGCGGGCTGGAGGCGGGCTGGAGGCGGGCTGGAGGCGGGCTGGCTTCTCACCGCGGTCACACGCAAGGGTCTGGCGACACGAGTCGAATTGTTTCACGATGACAATAAACGGATGATAACAAGGTTGCTATTCTTGTTATCTTCGTGCGCCGTGTGTACATTCGAGTTGGCCGAGTTCAAACTCCCACCACCCCCACCACCTCCACCACCCCCATCACCCCCATCATCACCATCGTCACCATCATCTTCCCCCCGCCGCCACTCCTCAGTGTCAACAACACCTGAGGACAAGGGGGGCAATGGCTGAGTGTTAATATTGTTATTTTTTTTATTAGTCGCAGCGATATGCAGAGAGGCTGGTTAGGTCATCAATTGAAGTTTTCACACGGAAATGGAGACAATTTTTTTTTGTTCACATATAGAGAAAAACACAGCGCGAATAAATTAAATGGCAATGACTCCCAGCTCAACGAAGTGGGTTCATTGTCATCATCGTCGTCATCGTCGTAATCATCGTCATCATCATCGTCGTCGTCGTCATCGTCGTCGTCATCATCGTCGTCGTCATCATCGTCATCATCATCGTCGTCATTATCATCATCGTCGTCGTCATCATCATCGTCGTCATCATCATCGTCGTCATCATCATCATCGTCGTCGTCGTCGTCGTCATCATCGTCATCATCGTCGCCATCATCATAATCGTCGTCATCGTAGCGTGGAAGTTAAAGCAGCAGTCAAAGACTCTAAACGCGTGGCGGCGTTGATTATGAACGTGGAGGGGAAAATCGGAGGACCCGGAGAAAAATCCACGCGACCACATCAAGAGAGAGAGACAGAGACACCGCAAACTCAAAATAGATATCAGGAGCAGCAGCAGGAGCAGCAGCAGCAGCAACAGGAGCAGGAGCAGCAGCAGGAGCAGCAGCAGCAGGGTCGGGATCGAGCCCACGGCCTCCTCCTGACGTGCCACGCGATCGAGATGACCATCACCTCGCCATCACCTCGCCATCACCACGGACTCGTGACGTCATCGCCCCCTCCCCCCACCAACCTCACCACGAACCTTGACTCGAAGCTTTCGCGACTGCAGGAATTCACAATATTCTTGGGGTCTTTCGGCAAAGTCACCAAGATAGGTTCGAAGAAAAAAATAACAAAAAACAACAACAACAAAAACGCCGACGTTTCAATGGCAACGCAAGCGATCGTCGTCCTCCTCCTGATGACGATCGCTTGTGCTGTGATCGAAACGTCGTTTTTTAACATATATGTTTTGTTATTTTCTTTGAACCTATCCACGTGACTTTACCGAAAGAGCCAAAGATCGTGAACCTCACCCCAATCTCGCGTGGCGCCCATACCGCTCTCCCCTCCGCGACTTTGACGTCAACAACCCCTCCCCTCCACCTGGCCACAATCTCTCGAGTGACGTCATCCCGGTGCGTTACAGGCAAAGACAAAGACCCCTCCCCCTCCTCCTCCACCCGTGTAGCCTCAATAGACTGCCGGGGCAAGTGCTGTGAGCGAGTGGCACCTCTGAAGGCCGGCAATGGGCAACACGTCTCCCCGGTGGCGATGTTCTGACAGGCTGCACCAGGAACTCATTTGAGGCTGAGTTGACCTTGGGGAGGTCCGGGACCGGTTCAGATAATTATCGTGATCGGGTCGCCGGGTTTCCTAGCGCAGCGCGCTAACCGCTCCTCCTCCACCGCTCCCTACTCCCTGCTACACACACGCACACACAACAACAACCGCCATTCGCCACTAAGTGGTGGTGACGTCACCACGACGCTTGTGCCAGGCTATGTGCACCCTGAGGCCACGTGAAGTGTCGAACGCCCGCTGGCAGGAGGTCACGGGGCAGACCCAGGTGCCACGGGTCGACTGACTGAGATGACTGGCTGATGCACCACCTGTGCCCCCTACTGTGCCAACCTGCTGTGCTTTAGCCACCCGGCGCTCCGCTCGTTGTTCTGAGCGTCGCTCCTCCGCCCTCCGTTGTTGTTGGAGGGCGACTGCCTCCAACTGCCCAGTAGCGTCCTTCACGAGCCTCCTCCACAGAGGCCGATCTTGACACCGCTGGTTTCAGTCATCGGCAAGTCCACTCAGCTCCACGTCCTCCTGTACCACATCACTCCATCTCTTCTCTAGCCCGTGCCGCGCCCGCTTAGCCCCCTCAATCCGGCCAAACAAAAGCTGTTTCGGCATGCGGTGGCTGGGCATGCGGGCTACATGACCCAGCCATCGCAGCCTTGCCTGCCGGAGGAGCTCACCGATGGGACCCTGCCCAGATCTTTCAAGGATTTGTGAGCTCCTCACACAATCCAGTCTGGTTAAACCCAGGATGGATCGTAGGCAGGCCAGCCTAAATGTTTCTAACCGCGAAGATGTTCCATTAGGGGGGTCCACGTTTCGCAAGCGTAGAGAAGGGAGGGAATGACCGTGGCCGAGAAGACCTGCAGCTTAGTGCGGAGCGACAAACCAGGTAGCTTCCACACAGCGTTACGCAACCGATGAAAATATATTGCCGCTCGACTGATTCGGAGTGAGACCTCTGCTGTTAAACGGGAGCCAGTCATGAGCACACTGCCCAGGTATTGGAAACTCTCCACTATCTCCACAACTGCCCCATCACCGATTGGGAGTTGTGGGGGTGGAGTGTCCGATGGTACAAAATACCCAGGCTGGTGCTTAGTTTTGGTGGGGCTGATGGTAAGGCCCCACCTCTTAGTGGCACGCTCCAGTCTCAGCAGCAGCGTCTCCAACTCCTCCTCTGACTGAGCAGCTATTACCAAATCATCAGCATACATAACGTGGTTGAGCAATAGGGAGCCATCCCTTGACCGCACCCGGGCATCGATTAGCCTCCCATTATATCTGTACCATATGGAGATTCCCCCAGTACAGCTATTGAAGGCTTCACGAACTAC